TCTTGTGTCGTGCCGCTTTATCGAAGTGGAAAAAACACTGAATATTATTTATTGTTGTTTATATTAGGTACCGTAAAATGGGGTGATTAGGGATCGAGAGGTGAATGGAAAAAAAAACCATTTTTTGTACTGTAATAGTAGAATGTTGAAAGTTCACAAAACAACTGAATATGCATGATAATAGCTGCTAACTTATAAAAATCGCGTTTCAAATTAACTTCTTCTGGTGGTAATTATTTTAGTGCTAGAAACTTTGCTCTCTTTTATTTATTTGATAATAATAGAAGACGACTGTGATTTATAAACGTTATTTAGTTTTTGAACCATCATATATATTAAAGGTAAGTATCAGTTGTTATTGGTGTTAATGTATTTGATAAAATAAAAATACATGTAAAAACGGTTGTTTTTGGGGATATTGGGGACGTCTCAGGTACAAATAACAATGAAAAAGGGGTCAATTGGGATGAGAATAAGTGAAATGGAAACGACTTAAATATAAATAGGTACAGGTTTGTAGGGTTGTCTATGTACTATGTAGTTATAACAATATTTTTTATATTTGTTGGTAAGTATTTGGTTTATTCATGATGTTTTTGTCTAAAACTTTTATTCAAGCAAATTTCTCTGTTAACACTAATTTCGTCCCCAATAACCACAATTTCTGGGTAAATAGGGATACCACCTATTTTTGCTTTTTTTGCTTAAACTGGAATGCTAATTGCATAGCTTTAAATTGGATAACAAAGATACCCTCAAGGCTCAGTCATTTTGATCCTGATATAGCATTTCAAACATCAACAACAATAAAAAAATTGTTCATCAAGTTGGAATTTGTCCCTAATTATCCCATTTTACCGGTATTTAAAATGAGACTTTTTGGCGGGAACGCCAGAAGTGGAGTTGTGTGATTTGTTTTATTTTGTCTATGTAGTCTTTCTTCAGGTTTAAATGTGTAATAAGGGTGGTTTATTAACTGTTTAATAACTGTAAAAGTGCACAAATGTGGAAAAATGAAACAAAGCTGCTGGACGTAGCTTCTCGGGATCCTCCACCATGTATACGAAAAAATCTCAGTAAATGACCACCATTTTACTGAGATTATATTTCATCCCATATTATCTCATCTCATTTTATTTTATTTCATCGCAGTTGATTAATTTCTCAAATTATCATCTTCATTTCATTTCATTTCATTTCACTCCATATTATCATTTTTCATAAAAACAAGAATATAAATTCAAATAAAACATGACTTAAAGATCTTAGATACCGGGTCATAAAATTTCTTTTAAAATAATTTGTGATTGTAGACTTTTTGGCGGGAACGCGAGGAGTGAAGTTGTGTGATTTGTTTTATTTTGTCTATTTAGTGTTTCTTCGCGTTTAAATGTGTGATAACGGGGGTTTATTAACTGTTTAATATCTGTGAAAGTGCACAAATGTTGGAAAATGAAATAAAGCCGCTGGACGTAACTTCTCGGGATCCTCCAAACAGCCACTGAAAAAATCTCCGTGAAAGACCACCATTTTACTGAGATTATATTTCATCTCATATCATCTCATTTCATTTAATTTCATTTCAGTAGACTAATGTCTTTAATTAATCATCTTCATTTCATTTCACTTCATATTATTTTTCATAAAAACATGGATACTTGAAATTATAATAAGACTTGACCTAAAGATCTTAGTTACCAGGTCATAAATTCCCTTAAAAAAATTGTAGCGGCATAGAATATACACAATCATAATATTTGAGACTTTTGAGAGTAGCGGAATACGTATATTTATGTAGGTACCTACCTGCCTACTGCGAAGAGTTCAGTGTTTTCATTTTCTGCGCCCGGTTTCTCTTCCAAAATCAACGTTCAGTGTTTAATTACTTTTTGTTAGGATATATACTGCTCTTGTAATCGTTTTTTAGAAATGGCGTTAACTAATGTGCTTTTGTTGAGCCAAATAGCGGGGTATTTGATGGGCCTCATACTGTCGCTTTGTGTTATTGTTCCAATGAGTATGCACCAGGACGAATTCAGGTAGGTGTTTATTAAGCACTTATCTTTAATAAAACTAAAATTTTATCCTTTGACCTACTAGGTACTTAGTGTCAATGACTTGCTTAATTTTGTTGTTTACAATTTAGTATATTTTTTACTGAAAACCTCGTATCCAAAAAGGTGTACCGTAAAATAAAGATAAACATGGTAAACTCTTGCATTAATTATGGTAACTATAATTTACCTAGTTCATGGGGGAAAATTTTGTTGTTTTCAATTTCTTCCAACAACCACCTAAATCAACATTATATCTATATATCTTTAAAATATGGATACATAGTAGAAATAAGCTATAGCCACAATGCGTAGAAAAAATACAACCATTGTCTAAACAGAATTAAGAACTTTACAGAATTTCAGAGTTAATAGTAGTTGTGATTCATGTGGTGGGCAGTGTTGGAGTTGTATATAAATGTAATGGCAGGTAACACTTGACACATGATTACAGATTTCGAATATTAGAATTATTTTAAATGTTTAAAAAACAGATGATTGTATTATCATAAGGAAATGTCAATACTTCTCATCTAGACACGGCAAGAGAAACATGTAATAGTTTTATAAAAAATATAAAGATAATAATTGTATAATGGTGTAAAAGTGTTCAAGCTATTTGCAATATAATTATAATGAAGCAGTTGTGTTTTTAAATAGCCCCTCATCACCTACAGAACCCAATCCCCTCAAATGTAACCGTCCAACAGGCAGAATAAAACTATCATAAAACAGATAAAACCATATAATTTATAAATCAGAGAGCTCCATGTGATGAATAAAAGCAGTGTCTGAGTCACATGGGGTTGAAAGCATTAAGTTGTGATGTACATGAGCCTGTCTTTTCACCTAGAGCAATAAAAAGAAAATTAAATCTTATAAAAACTCTTCTAAACCAGTGGGAATTGCTTGCTGTTCTCAAAAGGTGTATGGCAAGAGGATGGACAACTGCTAGTTTCATGGGCCTCTAGATTCTACTGCAACTATGTTATTCTAGTAGGAATTCTCATGTTCCTTGTGTGCTGCGTTCAGATATACAGGTAAGATATTATTGTTTTTTTGTGTTTTTCATAAACATAAAATAATATTAAGAAATCTCTCAAAAAGTTGGGGCTTTTTTTTTTTTGTTGCCTTTGCAGGTAGACGGGCATACGGCCCACCTGATGGTGAGTGGTTACCGTCGCCCATGGACTTCAGCAATGCCAGGGGCACAGCCAAGCCGCTACCTACAAAGCTGTGGCTTGTGACTCCCATGTACCTAATAATGTCAGCTACCTTTAATGTGATGTACCTTTGTAATTAGTCAATATTTTTCTAGACTCTCAATGTTGGTGTACAAAGGGGAGGATAGCTCATTTCTGTCGGCATTCTTGGAGGCTGTTGGATGTACTGTGCTCTGCGGGCTTGGAGTCTCTGCTGCCCTGATGGTTACTCTTGGTTTTATGACTTGGTGTGATAACATCATTGAACGGTTTCCTAGGTGAGAACTGATGAGGTAATGAAGTAAAGTGATTTAAATTTGATGGTCTGATGTTTTTGGTGATAAATCTGAAGTTGTATTGCATGAAATTTGTGATTGTTAATGCTTTTGTTCTATGTTAATGTAGATACAGTCAAATCTAGATTGTCAGGTCCTACATACTTCGCGCGCCCCCTAGCCACAAGAACCTCGTTCACTGCAAAGAAGGACCCCTATGTCATGGTGCCACAATTCCAATGAGTTATCCCTGCAACCTTCCACGAGTATCAGGATACTTGGGGCTGATGTCCAGTTTCGGAGTAATTTGGAGGGCCAAGTTGGCGTCCAAAATTCTGGGAGTCTTCAACAGAGCGAAGCGGTACTTCACGACTGGACAGTTATTCTTGCTTTACAAAGTACAAGTCTAGCCATGCGTGGAGTACTGTTCCCACCTCTGGGCTGGGGCTCCCAAATACCAGCTACTTCCACTTGACTCCATACAGAAGAGGGCCATACGGATTGTAGATAATACCATTCTCACAGATAGTTTGCAACCTCTGGGTCTGCGGAGGGACTTTGCTTCACTCTGTATTTTGTACCGTATGTTCCATGGGGAGTGCTCTGAGGAATTGTTTGAGATGATTCCATCATCTTGTTTTACTATGGAACCGCCCGCCACTGCAGTAGAGTTCACCCATACTACCTGGAGCCACTGCGTTCATCTATAGTGCGTTTCCAGTGATCTTTTTTGCCACATACCATCCGGCTTTGGAATGAGCTCCCCTTCACGGTGTTTCCCGAGCCCTATGACTTGCCCTTCTTCAAACAAGGCTTCTGTAGAGTACTCAATGGTAGGCAGCGCCTAGGAATGCCCCTGGCATTCCTGAAGTCCATGGGCGACGGTAACCACTCACCATCAGGTGGGCCGTATGCTTGTCTGCCTACAAGGGCAATAAAAAAAAGAAGTTCGGCCCCGCCCCTAAAAAAAGCAATCAAATTAGATAAACTCTTCACATATGTTGTGTGAAACTAATAATACTATAAAATGTATAGAGATGTCATCCACACAAACCAAGATGTATTTTCCATTGCATTGGAATAATAATTATCATGCCCTTTAAATTGTTTCACAAAATTATTGACCAACTCAGTGGTGCAGTATTTAGAGGCCCATGACTTTTGCACCAAGAGTTGTGGGTTTGATTCCCACAGCGGGCAAACAATTTTGTGATGAACAGGTCTCTTTGCTCTTTGTTCCGGTGTTTAATATACATACTTCATATGCATTACGACTATGTATGCTTCTGTCTCTAATTTCCATGACGGGAATCCTAGTCCGGGGTCATGTTATCTGACTATTTACTGTTATTATTATTAAATTGTTTTGAAACAGAAACACGCAGTCTATAAATAAGTGTTGTGTAAATAACCTTACATACACAATATAAACTACCACTTACACATAAACTTAGAATATACATAACATAATAATACATTCTTTACACACAAAATAGTCTCAATTTAGGAGTGATCATTTTTGGAAAATTGCCCTTATATTATACCCACTCTAGGACCATTTTCATTTTGAATTTTTTATTTTTAGTTGTGAAGATGCCACTGGTCAAGACATAGATACAAAAGATAAAATTTCAACTGTTGGTTTTTATATGGAGATTGGAACAGCACAGGTAAAGTTTTAAATTTTATGCATATTTGGGTCACCTGTCAATGTAAGAACCTCAATAAAAAACAAGTTATTTTTAAATACATATTATGTAGTTATAAAAAATGAAGACAGTGGAGAATTTAGAAGCGAAACAATCTGGGCATGTGAACAGTGATCAGAACTGATAAATAGAGTCCAACTTAGTGTAGTTTATTAATGATATAGATACACTACTGCCAGATACTGTGAGAAAGAAATGATATAAATTGTAACATGATATTAGGGTTTTTATTGTGAAAACCGTTAATAAATCTGTCATACATTTATCTGGAATTCCAGCTTGAAATGATATTTTTAACAAATTTATATTATAACAATTTTATAAACCTTAACCTTATACATATTATGAGTAGTAATGCCAATAAGCTAATTGACAAAAACACACCATATATTTATTTTCGTTTTTAATACAGTTTGGTGCATGGGCAGCATTCGCGACATGGGTGGGTCTGGCTGTATTTTCAACACTGAAAGTGTGTCGTTACCACCAGCTGCAGAACATCCAGGTCTCGATGTACCGGGAGCGACAGAGGCTTGTGAATGAGAACGACTCGCAGCCAAGCTCTGATGGACGGTCTACTCCTCCACAACAATGAACTGTGATAGTCAACCATTTTCTAACATATTGAGATTATTTTAAAGTAACAATTGTGGTGGGTAGTCATCACACAACACTAGATATTTGACAGATGCCTGAATCTCGCTTACGAAATTTTCAAGATAAGCTCGCACATATACAAGTTCCGAACAACAACATTCAGACCGTCGGTCTACCGAGCAATATCACCCGCTCTGTGGAAGATCTTTCTTTTGTCGTATACCCTCCACATCATAACTCTGGCAGACTGCTTTGACCATGAACTTCGATCCCCGTGTGCAAAACAACGTTCAAGTCTTCAGACCTTCTTGATCTAATTTGATTCCAGCCAGTGGCCTGAGAGCCAGTCGAGGAGGAATCAGCGAACAAACTCACGTGTAATATCAGTTTTAATGTATTATTGTATACTTGTTAATTGATGAGCTAATGATCATGTAATGAGCGACGGTGCCCTCTTACTATCAGGCAGGCTTTATGCTGCTTTGAATGTTGAGCCAAAATAAACCTATTTTAAACCAAATCTTGAATGTAATAAATAAATTACTTATAGTTGTAAGGTCGTGCCCTTCAGCTCGCTTGACTGATGCGAGACACATTGTGATTTTAAATATAAACATTATTTGTAGATGTTATGTATCTTTTAATATAAATTTTGTTCTTTAAAGTAGAGATGAAACGGATATCCGATAACTATCCGGTCTATCCGGCCATGTTTTCACTATCCGGCCGAATACCGGATAGTAAAACAGTATCCGGCTGGATTTCGGATAGTAAAATTTAAGAAAATCTCATGGTTATACAAAAGGCAAATAATACCACAATAGGTTATGGACAACTTTTATTTTTATAATCGCACGTCATAAGTGATTGTTTTATCAATTAGTTTGTTTAATATTCAAAATGAACAAGTGGCAAATTCTGGTGAATGAATACCAAATCGTCGTTGTACCGAGTCGTCACGATCTCCGCCCACGAGCGACAACACCCGAACGCGCTCGAGTATTTCCGAAAGGGCCGAACATCCGGCGCTTCGGCCTCGCAGCTTGCCGAATATTCGGTATCCGGCCAAACCACTATCCGTTTCATCTCTGCTTTAAAGCGTGTAAATAAGTCAGATTAAACTGAAAAATATTATTATTATGTAAATGATAAATAAATTATTTAATATGATGTTGTTTTTTTGTATTTTAACATATCTAGTCAACGCTACGTCTGTGTGTCGCCGTGATTACTTGTTCAGTCCAATTAGCCTTTGCTGCTTTCACTTAACTTTTTTCTATGTACCAAATTGCAGATAATTATGGAATGAATTTACTCGTCAGAGGCTTAAAGACATATTTACATTAAAATATTTACCGTTTGATTTAACAAAATTTATTAACTAAAATAAATAAGATAATCTTTGAAAATAAAACATAACGTAACATAAATTCCTTTGTTTTCTTAAATTAGTTTTATCTTGAATATTAAATCCAGTTATGTCCATAGGTAATATGTTTGTTAAAAATTATTAGTAGCCGCCTGTCTTATGCTAATGATACTATCACAGGTCACTTCACAAGCGGAACCAACTGATATTCAGTTAATATTTTTAAGCGTAGCCGATTACAGCTATGGCGAAACCTTTACTATTTGCAGCGACCAGACCCTTCATAGACAACGCCGGGGGCGTCCGTCAGCAAAGCTAATGTAGCTGGCATGATAACATTTAATCATCATTTCTTTTAATGATGGATTACCTTTTTTTATTGTTTAGATGGGTGGACGAGATCACAGCCCACCTGGTGTTAAATGGTTACTGGAGCCCATAGACATTTACAACGCAAATGCGCCACACACCTTGAGATATAAGTTCTAAGGTCTCAGTATAGGTACAACGCCTGTCCCACCCTTCAAGTCGAAATGCATTACTGCTTCACGACAGAAATAGGCGGAGTGGTGGTACCTACCCGTGCGGACTCACAAGAGGTCCTACCACCAGTAATTACGCAAATTATAATTTTGCGGGTTTGATTTTTATTACACGATGTCATTCCTTCACCGTGGAAGTCAATCGTGAACATTTGTTAAGTATGTGTTTCATTAGAAAAATTGGTACCCGCCTGCGGAATTCGAACATTAATGCATCGCTGTTGCAAGATGCTGATTATGTATAATTGGGTGACTAAATCCCGGAACCGGCGGGTGACGATGCATGTCCCGACCGCTATGACATGCATTTCACCCACCGAGGTCTGCGGAGTGTGCTTGTATGTGCCCCCTACATTGATCACGTCCACGCAAGACGGTGCCTACAAGGCAATTAAAAACAACAAAGTTGGATCTCCAGTTTCACGGTGCGTGGGAACATTCGCGTTGTACTTTGACTGGTGGGCTGCGAGTTCACCTGCTCATCAGTAGCAACTAAGAACCTGTCTTAAACCTCTAATCCTTATAAAGTATTTTTTCTAAGTAAGATAAGTTTCCTATAGCCTAGGTCCGGAAAACTTCGTCGGCAATAAACTACACTGTCGTATAAAATAAAGCAACGCATCATCATTCTCCTGCCCTTCTCCCAGTCACCTGGGGTCGGCACAACATCTTTTCTCCTTCCATATCTTCCTCCTCTATCGTATACAATTTCTTCGCTCACTCGCCTCTTACACAAATCCGTATTTTACGCATTCCATCAATTTTTTCTTAGGTTAACCTCTTCTCTAAACATGCAGCAACATCAGAACGATTAAAATAAAACAACGCATGTCAGTAATCACTCCAAATATATTGTATAACGGGCCGCGTACACTGTACCATGTGACGCGTCTTTTAATGCTCAAGATACAATCTTTAATTTCTATCACTATGATATAAGCTGAAATATCAAAGCAACATGCCAAACGTTTGCTTAAACTATACATTCTAGTTCGTTGGAGGATGTTCGCCGCACCCACTCCGTTGGAATGTATCTCTTAACTTTATACACGATTATAAAAAGCAATTTACTTAAAAAATATGAGAAAAATCTTAGAAGTAATTTACTTAAAAAAATATGAAAAAGATCTTAGAAACAATTTACTTAAAAAATATGAGAAAAATCTTATATTAGTTTCCATTGTTTTACACACCGTACAGCCGTCTGAGTGACGTCATCGCATTGCAAACCAATACCTTTCTCACCTTATCCTATTCTGTAAAGGTCAAGACAAAACTTCCCTTTGTTTTTTTTTTTTAAGAGATTTTATGACCTGGTAACAGACCTTTAAGTCATGTCTTATTTTAATCTATATTCTTAATTTTATGAAAAATGATATTATGGAGTGAAATGAAATGAAAATGATTAATTTGAGACATTAATCAACTAGGATGAAATTAAATGAGATGATATGAGATGAAATCTAATCTCAGTAAAATGGTGGTCATTTACTAAGATTTTTCAGTAGACTTTTTGGAGGATCCCGAGAAGTTACGTCCAGCGGCTTTGTTTTATTTTCCCACATTTTTGCACTTTCACAGATATTAAACGGTTAATAAACCACCATTATTACACATTTAAACGCGAAGAAACACTAAATAGACAAAATAAAACAAATCACACTACTTCACTCCTCGCGTTCCCGCCAAAAAGTCTACAATCACAAATTTTTTTAAAAGAAATTTTATGACCTGGTAACTAAGATCTTTAAGTCATGTCTTATTTGAATTTATATTCTTCTTTTTATGAAAAATGATAATATGGAGTGAAATGAAATGAAGATGATAATTTGAGAAATTAATCAACTGCGATGAAATAAAATAAAATGAGATGAGATAATATGGGATGAAATATAATCTCAGTAAAATGGTGGTCATTTACTGAGATTTTTTAGTATACATTTTGGAGGATCCCGAGAAGTTACGTCCAGCGGCTTTGTTTTATTTTCCCACATTTTTGCACTTTCACAGATATTAAACGGTTAATAAACCACCATTATTACACATTTAAACCCGAAGAAACACTAAATAGACCAAATAAAACAAATCACAAAACTTCACTCCTCGCGTTCCCGCCAAAAAGTCCAACTTCCCTTTGTAACCTTGGAGTGCCACAGACAAATCCACGGTTAACAAAAAAAAAAAAACCAAGCAAAGGGAGATTCATAAAGTTTAGTAGTTTTTTAATAATATTATTTTCACGATGAATTGATGCACTATTTTATTAGTACACATTATTTTAACAGGGTCAATTCAAACGCAAATGGGATTTAAGGTCATGGATAGTTCATAACGAGCTAAGAGACTACCTGCAGAGGGTAACTGCTTCGACAGTGCCGACACAAGCAGGACATAATCTGGCTTAAGCCCTCGCTGGAGACCAACTTTGACAAATGAACTTAATTCATGAGCAAGTCCGCGCATCTTGCGACGAGAGCTGGGGAGGTGGACTGGAGCGGGGCCGTCCAAGCTCGATATGTTAACGGGCCAAAAATATTAGGGCGCCAACTAAGTGGCGGATCATCATAAACTAAATGTAATATTATCAGTATTGAAAAAAACAGTCTTGATTTGGACAGCCCTACAAACTGTGGAATAGGCTCGTTTGGCTCAATCCGTCCAGACTGCGAATTTCTGCAGCCGGGAGGGGGAGCCACTGTAGCGGTTAACGTATTGCAAATTTTACACAACATGTGTCTATTGCGAAGTCTTTAAACAAACCTACCGACCATTTTGTGCCCATGTTAGAAAAACAAAGCATTAATTAACCATCTAAATACTCTTTAAATTTAATTTTATGGCTTAGACATAAGGTATAATTCGAAGTAGTTTTGTTTTCCTATAGAGATAAACGTAATATATACAGTACGGCAATGAGTAAATACAAGTAGTAGGTACAGAAGCGTGGTATAGTAGCAACGGTACGCTCATTGTCTTCGGCAGACCAGGATTTCTGAGAGATTGAAACTTGACGTAAAGTTGTCAGCCCTGGGACCAGACCCAGCAGCCCCGCGGGCCGGCCGGAAGGTATCACTTATTTCACGACGGTCATTTTTCCTTTGTTTTTTAATTAGCTTTTAATTGGATTTGCATAGGAATTACAACGTAAAGTTTGAGAAACTCTGGACTGTCGCAGCGCGCAGGCGTCTACAATTAATCACAACAATTAGAGTTAACGAAACAATCTGAATACAATATCGCAGGGCCGTTACGCGGCGGCGTGCTTGTTGCGCAGGTGCACCCGCAGGTAGCGGGGCTGCGCGAAGGTGGCGTCGCAGCGCGGGCAGCGCAGGCGGCGCGCGGCGTGCGTGTGGCGGTGCCGCTGCAGGGCCTCACGCGGCGGCGTGCTTGTTGCGCAGGTGCACCCGCAGGTAGCGGGGCTGCGCGAAGGTGGCGTCGCAGCGCGGGCAGCGCAGGCGGCGCGCGGCGTGCGTGTGGCGGTGCCGCTGCAGGGCCTCACGCGGCGGCGTGCTTGTTGCGCAGGTGCACCCGCAGGTAGCGGGGCTGCGCGAAGGTGGCGTCGCAGCGCGGGCAGCGCAGGCGGCGCGCGGCGTGCGTGTGGCGGTGCCGCTGCAGGGCCTCACGCGGCGGCGTGCTTGTTGCGCAGGTGCACCCGCAGGTAGCGGGGCTGCGCGAAGGTGGCGTCGCAGCGCGGGCAGCGCAGGCGGCGCGCGGCGTGCGTGTGGCGGTGCCGCTGCAGGTCGGCGCGCGCGCGGAAGGTGCGGGCACACAGCTCGCAGGCGTGCGGGCGCGCGGGCGCGTGGCGGCGCTGGTGCCGCTGCAGCTGCGTCCGCCAGCGGAAGGCCGCGCCGCACGTGGCGCAGCGGTGCTGGCGCGCGCTGCCGTGCGTCTGCGCGTGGATGTAGAGGCCGGCCCGCGAGCCGAACCGCTTGCCGCACAGCTGGCAGGCGTGGCGCCGCTCGCCCGAGTGCACGGCGCCGTGCTCCCGCAGCGCCGCGCGCGTGGTGAACTTCTTGTCGCAGTGCGGGCACGCGTGCGCGCGCTCGGCCCCGTGCGCGTGCTTCACGTGGTAGAAGTAGCTGGAGGCGGCGCGGTACGTCTTGCCGCACACGGGACAGGCGCGGGCCGGGCGCTCCGGGGGCACGGTCTGGGGCTTCGCAGGTGCCTCCCGTTCGTCTTCGAGAGCACGTGGCGCCTCGTCCGGTAGGGGTTCGGAGCGATCGTCGTCGCTGTGTTCGGAGAAACCTCCGGGATCGGCGGCCGACTCCGCTTGGAGGAGTTCGGGTTCCGGCTCTTCGACGAGACCGTCGTCAGCAGCGCTGGGGGGGCGGGGCTCGGGCTCCTCGCTGACGTCCCGTTTAATGCGTGCGAGCAGGGCGGCCTCGCGCCGCACCGCCTCCTGCCGCGCGGCCTCCCTGCGGGCGCGCTCCTCCTGGGCCTGGCGCGCGTACAGCATGGCGTGGGACGACATGTGCGGGATGAAGATCTCGCGGTCGACGTAGCTGTCGCAGTCTTCGCAGTGGAAGATTCGTTCGGCGTGCTCGGAGACCACGTGGCGTCTGTACTGGGTCTGCGGACAGTGCTCGCCGCAGTACACACAGCAGATGATCCGCTCGAGAGAGGCGGAGGCTTCAGGGAGATCCATCGGCTGGGCGAAGTCCGGGGCTTCTGCCGACCTGCAACATAGCCAGCTCGATCATGATGACTGTGGATGTAGGTTGGTAGGGTCGTCGGTCACGCGTCGGGCGCGGCGCAGCGCTTGCGGTGGCCGTTGAGCTGTCCGCGCAGTCGGAAGGCTCTCCCGCAGCGGCACACGTGCGCCCTCTCCCCGGTGTGCACGCTCACGTGCGCCTGCAGCTCCACCTTCCTCTTGAACGTGGCGCTGCACTCCAGACACTTGTGTTTGCAGACATCGTGCGTCTTCCTGTGCATCCGCAGCGCGGCGCCGTACTTGGACGCCTTCCCGCACACGTCGCACACGTACTCCCGGCGCTCGGAGTGCGACTTCACGTGATCCTCGAGATGACTCTTTCTGGAGAATGTCTTGGAGCAGACGTGGCAGGCGTGGGGGCGGCGCTGGACGTGCAGCGCGCGCACGTGGCGGGCGAAGTTCCCGCCGTGGGCGAACCCGAGGCCGCAGGACGGACAGCGGTAGCGGCGCCGCGCCCCGGGGCCCGCGCCCTCGACCTCCCCCTCGTCGCTTGCCGCAGCCCGCGCGACCGATCCTTCGTTTGTTCTGAAACGGCGAAGGGAAGTTTCGGGGCGTTTAATGAAAATCACAAATCGCAGCCGAGTCGTATATTCGAGACGAACTAAAAACGAACATAAAGTCGCGGGTCCGCGGCGTCCGTCGGATGTTGTTTCCTCACGTGGGTCCGGAGCGCCCGGCGCTGCGCGAAGGCGGCCCCGCAGTTCTGACAGCTGTGCGGGTTGGTCTCCAGGTGGGACAGCACGTGGCAGTTGAGCTCGTGTCGCTGCCGGAAGGTCTTGCCGCAGTGGACACAGGCGTGGGGTCGCTCGCCGGAGTGGTTGAGGCGGTGGCGGGTCATGTTGGAGCGCAGCTTGAAGCGCTTGCCGCAGTCGGGACAGCGGTGGGGCGCGGCGGCGGCGTGCGACTTGAGGTGCACGTGCAGGGAGCCGCTCTGCGTGAAGCGCTTGGGGCAGGCGGGGCAGGCGTAGGGTCGCTCGCCGGTGTGCGTGCGCAGGTGCTGCTTGAGGTTCTGCGCGGAGGCGAAGGCGCGGTGGCAGAGCGGGCAGGCGCGGGGGCGGCGGCGCTCGTGCGTGTGCGCGAGGTGGCGGCGGAGGCCGGGCGGCGCGCGGAACTGCTTGCCGCAGAGGTGGCACACGCAGGGCCGCTCGCCCGTGTGGATGCGCTTGTGGAACAGGTAGGTGTAGCGCGAGCTCAGGCTGCGGTCGCATATCGAGCACGCGTAGAGCGTCTTCCCGTCGACCTTCCGCCGCGCCAGGCTCAGCTCGGCGCGCGTCTCCTCGTCCATGCGGTTCCTGCGCATGTTCCGCTGGCTCAGGTCGTCGAACTGCTCCACGTCGCGCGCTCCGGGCGGGCCGGCCTCGGTGTCCGCGGAGAGTTCTGAATCTTCTGAATCAGTGGAAGCGGGGCGGGCGGCCGCAGTTTCATGTTCCGAGACGAAGTGCTCCCTAAAGCTGACGAGCGCCCGGTAAAACGATTCGTAGAGTTCGGAAGACTTCCTCGAGGCGGCCACCGAGAGGGGCTCGTCCTCGTCGTCCACCGGGTCGTCCGAGTACTTGTCCGCGTCTGAAGGTTCTTTGCTAAGTTCGGTATCGCGGGGGCGGAACTTAGGGCGGAGAGGCAATCTGCAACAAATAACCCTCGTTACGTCACGTCTTGTGAGTGCTCACATGGTACACGAGGTGCGATCGCTTCCGGAACTTCTTCGAGCAGATTTGGCACTCGTATTTTCTGATATTTTGATGCATTTCCATATGGCGGTCGAGAGTGTTCTTAGCTCGGTAGGACTTCCCGCACTGTGGACACCGGTAGGGCCTGTGTCCGCTGTGGAGGCGGGCGTGGAGGTCGCGGGCGGCGCGGGTGGGGAAGGGCTCCCCGCAGCGGGGGCAGGGGTGCGGCATGAGGCCGCGGTGCGCGAGGCGGCGGTGCGCGCGCAGGGTGGCGGCGCTGCGGTAGGTGCGGGCGCACTGGTCGCAGCCGTGGGCGGCGTGGGGGTCGCTGTGGCTCTTCATGTGCACGAACATGTTGTATTTGTTGGAGAATGTTTTGTTGCACTCTGGACACACGGCCGGTATATATTTCTGGTTTTTTATGCTCTGTTCTACTTTAGTATTTTTACTGGCCTTACAATTGTTGTGCTGTTCGAAGATATGTTTCTGTAGGAGACCTGCACTGTCAGTTTTATATCCGCACGATCTACAAATGTTACTCTCTGCAGTACTGGTGTGTTCCTCCTGCAAATGTTTCCTAAGCTCTTTGTTATCTGTATACAATTCTTTGCAGCACATTACTCCATCTTTTTTTGGATTTTCTTTATGGCTGTTCAAATGAAAAACGAGTCGTGATACAGAAGAGAAAATGCATTCACAATATGAGCAGTTATAATTTGGGAGAGGCTCCTTATCAGGGTTCACTGATCTGTCATCCTTGTCGCTGTCTCCTGAACTAAAAGCTAGGGATTCTTCAATAATTACATATTCTTTAATGAATGTTTCCAATTTATCTACATCAAAGCAATGAACAGTATTAAAATGCTCAGCTAATAGCTGCGATGACATTCTAGAATGTTGATCATCACATTTCAGACATACAAACTCCATGTCCCCGTGAACAGCTATATTCAATTCACTCAAGTATTTATTCAATACCATTTTAAAGTTTTCATAAAACTCCATTTTTGAATCAGACCTGAAAACGTGTAGAAGTGCAACAATATTTCACAGCGAGTAGCTTAGAGTGTTTCTGAAATTATACTTACTTTTCTTGTTCTGCACTGATTTGTTGAATGAACTGCTGCTGTTTTTCGAATTCATCTGCTATGGGAGCCTAAAAGAATAAACATTTTAATATTTTAACTTTTAAGTGATAGAAAACAGCAATGAAATAAAAAAAAAATCAATAGATTCAATATCAAACCCACAGTAACGTCAATGTCACTTGTACAGTCATGAATTCATATTAAATTACCAAAAGGACTTTTCAACATATATTTTTTTACTTCGTATTCACCAGTTCAGCATTGGAAGCGGTTGCGTGAAACCATACCAAATATAGTACAGTCATTTCATGGCATTTTGGCATGGTTCTTACCTGAAGAACTTGGAAACGCTGCCTCAGAGCTTCATCTGCATGCACGCAGATGTGCTTGAGTTCATGCCATGCTAGGACAGTGGTTGCACAGTGGTAGCACAGTACATGTGGCATGCCATCATCTGGTGATACCTGCAAACAAACTTTCACTAAGGGCTTGTTTCCTATACTCATTTGCTCTTGTTAGGGGATTTTATATTACCACATGAATTGGTACAACTGTTATAAAGCATAAGGTATTCCAATTTTAATAAGTAAAATAGCCATCATTACAATATAAATGATGCTTCATATTGAGATGGAGTTATATCAGTGTTGTGAAGGTTTGGAGACTGCTGACAGCAGTTAAGCCATTGTTATAAACAAGATAAAAATGTTTCTTTAAAAGCATCATGAACTAATTACAACATAAACATTTAATATTCAGTCATTATCACAATACCTAATCAAACTGCCACCAGATGCCAACTATACTCAAGGTGGCATGCTTAGTACTCATGTCGGATACAGGTAGCATAATGAACTATTAGTAAATGCAAGAGGTGATCAAAGTGGCTTCTGTCTTTTGATAAATAATTTGTATGTTAATAAAGTGAGATCTTTAACAGGTAAAAGTTTATTTACAAACCATTATTGGAAGATGTTTATTTATCAGTTCTGGCAAGTTTTTTTTTAAACCTTCTCCCTCAAATATGGGTATAAGATAATCTGCAGGCTGAGCACACGTTCTACATATGTTATCAAACTGTTTTAAATCTGAAATATAATTTTATTGATATCAAGATTTTATTTAAACTTAATAGATTGTTTGAATAGTCCACCTCTTCATTGGTGTTGAGGCAAGACGAGCCCACTACCCACCTCATATGAAGTTGGTTACATTACTAGTGCATATCTGTGATGATAAGCAAGCAAACTACTGTCTTTTTTAATTTTTTTGTTGCTTAGATGGGTGGACAAGCTCACAACCCACCTGGTGTTAAGTGGTTACTGGAGCCGATAGACATCTACAATGTAATTGCGCTACCCATCTTGAGATATAAGTTCTAAGCTCTCAGTCTAGTTACAACGGCTGCCCCACCCTTCAAACCGAAACGCATTACTGCTTCACGGCAGAAATAGGCGAAGTGGTGGCACCTAAGCATGCAGACTACCAAAATGCCTGGCTTACCAGCTTATATGCAATACCAGAAAAGTTTAAAGAATTTTATATTTTAAGTATGTCACAACCAGTCAGGAATTAATGAGATATGACATGATTATGATTTTTCTTTTAAGGTACGTACACACTCTTTGACTATATTCATATAAGAACATGCAAGAACATTTTTAATTACAAGTAATCAGAATGAATTTCTTCGTTTGAAATTTTCAATTTTTTTAATATAATTAAATTATATTTTATTTAAGGAATATTTTATAGAATCTTTTTTTAATATTTATGCAGGTAGTTATTTTAATAAATTATGTTGTGGGGTAGTACAATGTCATTTTTGTTTTAAGGCATAAGTAAATGATTGATGTATTGTTTTAATTTGAATTTTTTGTCTTTAATAGTGTTACAATTACTTAACATGTACAATTTTATAACCGGCACAATTTATGCAGGATGTTTGTAGAGTTGAAGTGACCGAACATTCAAAATGTTTTGCAAGATACCAAATCTAACTGTGCTTACTTCATTGTTGTAATTATGGAAAACTATGATCATTTCGTATGAGCGTGATTATCGATTCATGCTGGGGCATGTTAAATGTTTAAATGATTATTTATACCTCTGTTTAAGGGAGATGCAGGTTTAGAGTTTGCTGGCTGATTGACAACCACTCCCGTGGCCATCTTTGCAGTCACACACTGCATCATTATATCTCAATTCACATTAATCACAATGAAAATTCATTCAAATTAAATAATTTCACTTGAAGACAAATCAGAAAGACTCAAATGTCTCGTCCAACTCGTCACAAAAGCTAAAGCGATTAGTACTTTTTTTTTTTTATTGTCTGGTAACGATGCCTTTAAGCCAAGCAGTTTTCTTAAGGTATTTTATTACCTGGTAACTAAGATCTTTAGGTCAAGTCTTATTTTAATTTATATTCTTATTTTTAAGAAAAATGATAATATGGAGTCAAATGAAATGACATGAAGATGATCAATTTGAGACATTAATCAACTGGGATGAAATTAAATGAAATGAGATGAGATGATATGGGATGAAATATAATCTCAGTAAAATGGTGGTCATTTACTGAGAATTTTTCAGTGAACCTTTTGGAGGATCCCGAGAAGCTACGTCCAGCGGCTTTGTTTTATTTTCCCACATTTGTGTGCTTTCACAGATATTAAACAGTTAATAAACCACTGTTATTACACATTTAAACTGCAAGAAACACTAAATAGACAAAATAAAATAAATCGCACAACTCCACTCCTCGCGTTCCCGCCAAAAACTCAAGCAGTTTTACAATAACACCACTGATTAATTTAATAGTTACCAAAACACTGTGGTACTAGTGATACTTGATAAACATCGATATTTGGAACTTAAGTATACTATCTATGGCTTGGAAAACACTAAACTTGGGTAAACAATTGATTGTTTAGTGCCAGTCTTAGTGTTACATAATTTAATCTGAGTTCAAGAACGGCTCTCTATATTTCACAAAGAATTTTCATTTCAGTCTTTAAAAATCTTTCGAAAGATATTCCGACGGAATAAAAATTGTTGTTTCAGACTAACACCAATGTTTTAGGGATAAATGTTTTGAAAACGAAAAAACATATATTTCTAATATTAAAATTTAATTAATTATAACATTTAAGTAGACATTTAAGAAATTACATTATTTTAATCTTGGTTGGAACGCCAGTAATCTTGTGAGGCTCTACCAGCAGCTGTCACTACCACGGGAGCTACCATCATCGTTTTGCTCTTGTATGTTTGTATAACTTGCTGTAAATGAACACAGGAATTTCTTATTATTTTCAAAACAAACCTTTAGGTACCTGAGGTAATGATTCTAGGTTTTCGAAGTAGTATCATTAATTTGGTCTTACAATTTTAATCATGTGTTGTAGCTTTAGAAGGGTACAGTAACCTATTTCTAAGACAATATTCCCAAAGCTGTCCTTCTGTATAATTAATTTACAAGTAAGTGAGATTACATTTGATTTAAGCATATGCTCTTTTATTTAATGAAATCTCGCCACTATTTTTAGTCTAATAAAAGTTGCTATTATGAGTCTATTCGTGATCATAGAACTTCCGCATGGCAAAATATCTCGATTGCTCATTAAAACTAAAAACCATAGTAAGAACCCGTTATTTAATATTGTTTAAAATTTATAAATAAATAAAAAACTGCTTCAACCTAACTTGGAACTTCTGGGTTATTCCTATCTTTTTTTTAGTCCATTATTGGGTCATTGAAAGAATGCGTCAGAACAGGTCAAACGGACACCAGAATTTTTTGATATATTTATTTATTTAACCAATATATGTACCGGTACGGCAAATTTAAATAGCCATGTAGGTATAAATTTTTATCTAATCAGTATAATATGTATAATGAATAATGCTGAATAAAAGTATGTGTATGCTTTTAGGTTGTCAGACGTATGTTTATTTATTTACCCCCCGTGCTCATTTTTTTATATTCTTTATTTCTCTAGGTACATTGAGTTTGAATCCAGACAACCAAGAATTGAAAATTAAGTTACTGTTTACTTGGATTGGTTAAAGAGTAAATAATAGTGTTTTTTTATATATATTTTTATTGTCCTTGTAGGCAGACGAGCATATGGCCCACCTGATGGTAAGTGGTTACCGTCGCCCATGGACTTCAGGAATGCCAGGGGCAGAGCCAAGCCGCTGGATACCGTTAAGTACTCTCCACAAGCCTCGTTTTAAGAAGGATATGTCATAGCGCTCGGGAAACACCGTGGAGGGAAGCTCATTCCAAAGCCGGATGGTACGTGGTAAAAAAGATCTCTGGAAACGCACTGTGGATGAATGCAGTGGCTCCAGGTAGTATGGATGAACTCTACTCCGGTGGCGCGCGGTGCGATGGTAAAAACTCACATCGCTCGAAATGTCAAGTATCCCGATACTCTCGGAAGGTTGCAGGGATACTCCTTGGAATTGAGGCGCCATGACAAAGGGGTCCTTCTTCGCATTGAAAGCGCAAACTAGTGTCTTTAACGGGTTGAATTGAACTTGGTTCACATTGGAAACATCCGGTTCGGAGACTTGGAAACATTAAAAGGAATCTAGCGATGCACATAGTTGCAGGAATCGGAAAACACCGACGTCATAATGTGGAGCTACTGTCAATTTAGAAGTATGAAAGCGGATTCTGAACTATTGTATTATGTATGACTATATTTTCAAGAATACAATATAAATAATAAATAAAGAAAATAATTCAACTATAGCAGTTATAAAATAACTGTTAAATACTTAAAGAGTTTGATTATAATCATGATTGATTTGATTTGAACTTGAACAAGTAACGAGGACACGGTGGAGCACACGTTCGCGTGCTGTCCCGCTTTCGTGGAGCCGCGCCGCGTCCTCGTTACAAAAATAGGACCGGTTTGTCGCTTCCAACCGTCGTGGCTACGATGTTCTGCAGCGACGAGTCCTGGCAGACCTAATGTGGAACCTACTGTGCAAGAGCGACCCGNAATCATGATTGATTTGATTTGAACTTGAACAAGTAACGAGGACACGGTGGAGCACACGTTCGCGTGCTGTCCCGCTTTCGTGGAGCCGCGCCGCGTCCTCGTTACAAAAATAGGACCGGTTTGTCGCTTCCAACCGTCGTGGCTACGATGTTCTGCAGCGACGAGTCCTGGCAGACCTAATGTGGAACCTACTGTGCAAGAGCGACCCGATCAGGTGTTCTACCCCGGCAGGTAGGTCGGGCGTCATCGGGGTGGTGCCGCCAGTCTGGTTGTAGTGTTGATCACGGGAAGAGTGTAGTCATTTAGTGCGGTGGGACCCTAAAACATTCATGGGCCCGCGGTTTGCAGTCGCGGGTCAATCCCACGTACACGCGCACCCTCTAGGCGCGGAGATCTTGTAGAAGGACCCCGACCCGAACAAAAAAAACTCTTATCGCCGGTGTACTTATTTTGTACTTACTTACTTTACTTTATATTAGTAGGAAAGCTATAGAATGATACTGAGAGAAAAATTACCAGCACAAGTTTTATGAGGAAAACAGCGAAGGTCAAAAATGAGATGGTCATAAGGGCGCTCTCGGATGATGGAAACTGAACGTGGCCTCGCGCATCATCCGCCGAGCGTTTCTGTCGATCTGAGTCGTCGGGCCAGGTCACGTCGATACGGTGCTCTGTAGAGATAAATTTTTAAGCGGTAGCAGTTATGGTTTAAATTCTGTCTGAAGCTTTTTATTTCATAGATGACTGAACACCCACTTAAAGCTCACTTGGTGTTATTTGGTCACTGGAACCCATCGGAATCACAATGTGAATGGCGCCACCCGCGTTGTGACATGAGGCCGAAGTTTCAGTTACTGTCCCAACTAGAACGCATGATTGGTGCGCTACACGAATTGACAGGATCGTGAAACCCACCCTTGGGGGCTCTCAATATGCCCCACCAACCTACTCACTGAAGCGTTTTGCATTGCAATACTATGTCCTTCAAAATTAAATACATTAATTCGAAAGGATAATAATATGTGGTCACAGGAGTAGGATTAACGCAGAAAGCTAGTCATCTTAGAGCTCAGTAATCTAAGTATAACAATAATTTACTTCAAATCAATTTGATTTATAATACTTACTAATGTTGGTTAATATTGTATTTCTCAGATCTTCTAAATACCTAACTTTAGTACTAATTTTTTTTCTGGTATTTTTTGATATAGTGTCAGTTATTATTTTCATAAATTTAACAACAGTTTCCAAAGTGCTATCTTTTGGATCTTCAACAATAGATTTGTGAGGTTCATTCTTATTATTGCTTGCATCTTGTTTGTTTGAGATTTTATTGTTCTTTTTTTGTATAGCTTTTACGTAGTTGATTGTTAAAATTTCATTTTTCTGTGTGAGCTTTTCGTCTTTTGAAACAATTTTTGGGATATCAGTAGTAATTGGCTTGTTTCTGAAGTCTAATTTGTTTTTATTTTGTTGTTTTTCTTCTTCTTTTGTTACCTCTGCTTCGAACGAATCACCCTTTGTTACGAATGTGGGCTTTTCTTTATATGTTCTAAGCGGTTTATAACTTTTCAATGGATTATCCAGAACTAAACTTGAATTTAAATTTTTGTTTGTATTTACTGGTGTTGCTATTGGTTCAGTGGCTTGATGCTCCTTACGATTATCTTGTAAATTATTTCTTAAATTATTTTGTTTCGCTGTGTCACTAAGTTTATCTCTAGCAGTAGTAACCAGCCTGCTATTTTCAGTTTTTATTGCAGACGATTTCACAGTAGAATCAGATATCTGAACACGTTTCACGTTACCTACTTTGCTAATAGACACTCTCTCTATTTTACCCATGCTCTCTGTTGGAACTTTCTTTTTATTGTCACTGTTAATATCAAAGTTCACTTTATGGTACACGTTGCTGTTAACTCGATCACGAACACTGAAAAAATCTTGACTTTGATGCCAATGCTCAATGCTATCATTAAAGTACACTTGGTCACTCTCTGACGAATGCTTATTGGTAGGTTTCCTGTACTGTTGAGTTATTTCGATCCATTCAGCGGAGACTCCGATGAGCAGGAGGATAAAAATAAGGAACATTTTGTGCGTGCCCTTGCCGAAGCATGTTTGTAGTGTTAACTTCGATGTGACGCTACGGTTGGGAGGACGTGCTTAAGTGTATAGGGTGATGTTTTTTGTAAATTAATTTTAGTTTCATTTTATTGGCATAAATATATTAGTTCGTAGACTAGTGAAGAGTATGTTGAAACACCGAGAAGCAAAATCTCTAGAGCTGATGGATCATTACACGAAACAAGGCAAAACAGTAGCAGCATTTTCAGTGAACAGCAGTATCTGCGGCAGTTTGGTATAACGTTCCAAATTTATCCCAAAAATCGTAAAAATGACTAACTAGTGAATTTTATCACGTCTTGTATACAGATCTACTACAGATCTTGATCGTTTTCGTGGACGAGCAACAATTACTCGCTCCGTGGCTCTTCCGCGCTTACTGTGAGGGCATTCAACTGCTCTTCCGTAAATAATGCTTTCATACTACTAAAGTACTAAAGTCTTAGTTGTACCCCGCGGTTTCGCTGGATTTACTTTATAATACATATCATATATGGGTAGTCTAGTTCATGAGTGTAGCAGATTAAGCACGAATAGAAACAGTTGGCGAGAGGCTGTGAAGCGAACGACGAAGTCCTTAAAAGTTTATCACGACAACAAATATAGAGGCAAGAAATTATATGGGTCCGTTGTTGCGTTACGAGAAACTAACGAACATGCACAATACCGAACTTTATTTTTATATAATTATTAGTTAGGTAGTAAAATAACGTTTTTATTAATGTATCTGTAAGTACACCATTTTTTTTTCTTTCTTTGTTTTTTGGAAATAAAATGGGCTTATTATTATTATTAAGTACAACATGGATACGACCTGAATACAAAGCAGTGGCCATAGCCCACTGGCAACACAAAGCATCCGCGCCCTCTGGTTCCAAGGAAACTATTTAATCAACACGTACTTTTTTTTTTTCCTGCCTAAGCTGAGAGCCTTGAGAGGCTATATCAGCGTAACCTTAACTAGTAGGTGAGCTCACGGGGCTCAAACCTGACGATGTTGCTAAAAACGAACCCTAGCAAGGGCCGTGCTTCGCAGAATCAACCACCGGATCGGAAACATGACCCATTAAGAAGATCCGGCGAGAAACTCAGTGGGCTGTGTCTGAGGGTTAATTTACTCGTCGAGCCCTTCGTCGCTTGCGACGGGTTCGCCGAGAACGATGACCGGTGCTTGAGGTACCTAAAAGCACCGTTAATGGATCGGGAACACGTACTCGCGTGTACAAAAACAAATTGTTTTCAAAACATCGTTTAATTAATAATCGAACAATAACACATACATATGTATACAACATCAACAGTTATATTACTTTTTTTACGATTGAAGGATTACTGGTGACACTGAGGCCTTTCCGGTTTCACCAGGACAGGAATTATTGGAACGAAGTTCCTTATGGGACGATGCGGAGGGGTACCCTAACCGGGAAAAAACGTCCGTAACGTAACATTTTTATTATTTATGTATAGTCTTAGTATGATGGCTATACAGTATCTGATGTAGTATATATAGTCTACGTGATGACGGTTATTATTATTATTATTCATGTAAATAGCTGTTTTTTGTATATTATTATTATATATTTTTTATAAATCATTGTGAATAAAATAAAGTTGATAACTTTGTAAAGTAGTTTTTTTTATCAATAAAAAATCACAATAAAAAATGTATACCCGAATAATTATTTTCTTTATACCTTGAATAGAACTTAAAATTAATATTTTTATAATCAGGAACTTCGTTCCTATCCGGTGTCCTATGACACCACACATCTTTTATTACGTTTGTTTGTCCCGCATGTACTTATCACTTCGTATCTGAACCGCTGGGCGTCTCAAATCGGTGCTCAAAGAAAAATTAACAAGATTTTTACAAATATTTTATTTGTTGATTTAGTGCCGTTTCTACTAACTTTAATTTCGATATGATCACAGGTTAGGCCCTCTTGGTTAATTACGTTAATCGCTTTAAGATTTTATTTCAAATTTAAATTCATGTGAACAGTACACAATACAAGCAAACGTAACTATAAGATAAACATTAATTTATTTTAGTCGTAATGACATTGAATTATCCCGTAATTATTGTTATTGCAATGTTTAGGGTAGTTATGGGGTAGTTTGAACCAGTTTGACATTACTACATGCCAAAGCATCATCACATTTCATTTAAATTTGCTATTTTCTTTTAAATTACATAGTCCAATAATAAAGACGGGATACTTTTTTATAAACTCTTAAAAATACTACTTTTATAGTTAATTGATAATTATATAATCCTGATGATTTTATTACAAAATGTTTGTGACTTTATAACACCAATGTTTTGGTCCGATTATAAGTATAAGATAATTAGGCTCCTTTGTTACACTTATATAATTAATTAGGAAGAGGAGAAAAACACTTGTGCGTGTCAGCTCCAACGCGTCATTGGAGTTTACTCTTTAAGTGCAATTATCATTGAATATACAATGAGTAGAGGGGGTAAATAATTGCATCAATTATAAAACTGAAAGCACGTGTAAGGTTCTGTGTATATCTATTAATATTAAATCGATAAAATAATAAATAAATCATGTCCCAAAAATAATACATGTGTTACATATCTATTGCGGGCAAATACTTTTCATCATTTTTCAAGTTATTTATTTTTAGATATTTTGCATTAATGGCGATAACAGATTTTAACATAGTTAAAGTAAATGATTTTGAACTAATATTATTAACACTACTTTAATTCTTAATGACTCAATATGTAGTAAAGTAGAGATACATCAAGTATGCATTTTTAAAACTGTCACTAGACGTGGCGTGACAATTTGATACAATACACTTTGATGTTTAATCTTTATGAAATAAGGTCTATTTTTCTATTTGAATGAAAAAAATATGACAACGCTATAAAATACTGCTCATCATATTTTCGTATGGGTGTTTTAAACGAAATCGGTTCTTAAAGAGTAAGCTCCAAAAATGTTACAGATGAGTTTAACATTTAATATTATAACATTAGAGTTCTATTGACTTCGTGTCGTTCGTCGTGTGTTATGAAAGTGTAGATTGTGTGCGATTATCATTTTTTTTATTACCCTTATAGACAGACGAGCATACGAGCCACCCGATGGTGCGTGGTTACCGTCGCCCATGGACTTCAGCGATGCCTGGGGCAGAGCCAAGCCGTTGACTACCGTAATGATTAATGTAAATATTTAATATCTCATTAATGTAGATTGACGGGAAAGATAGAGGGCAAACGGCCCAGAGGATGCAGTCTCACGATGGTCGGACCAATTCGGTCTTGTCTGGACATCAAGCTCCACGGTGCCCTCCACGAGGCTAAGGATGGCAGCAGACGGGGAGGGGAGCGGAGGGGAGGGGAGCGGGGAAGTCACGATCCTCAGTAATGAGAAGAACGACGCAAGGAGGAATGTAAATATATATTTTTTTAAATTTGATTTGAGTCATTTCTCTATGTTATATTCGCGAATTATTATGTCAATAGACGGGACCAGGTCACACCAGGTAACCTGGTCCCGGACGAGGATTCCCTGTTCCACGGAAACTACTGACTCTGATAAACATACCTATACGAGTTGTAATGTATATGCAGTATTTATACATTAAACACCCAAACATAGAACAAACAGTCCTGTTAACCAGACGAATGTTTGCCCGCTGCGGAAATCGAACCTACGACCCCTCGGCTCAGCAGTTAGGGGCCGTAACTACCGCACCACCGAGTCAATCATTATTATTATTGCAATGTTAGACCTACATAACAATTATATATTATTAAAACGTTGTTATTTTCTAAGAGGAAAAGATTAATATTAGATTTTTAGTTATGATAATTTTGCTTAAAAGTTTAGTATTGTGATGAACGCCCCCTGGTCGTCGCGGGCCGCATGCGCTCAAGACGCAAGACGTGACATCACGACAACGACTTCATTATTTTGACTATCTATATTATATACCTACTAGCTGCACCCGTCCGCTTCGCTGGGCATTTAAAATTAACATTATTATTTCTAACCCCCACAAAGATTCTCATCATTAACGTCCTCGCAACTGGTGTAGGGAGTCTAACGCTCATATAAATATTAGCCTATCCAGTAAGCACATGTATTTTCTACATGTTCAGTAGTTATAACGGAACATCCGTAACAACCACTGTAGATTTATATATTAGTTAGTATAGATGTGTAAAATTCGAGATATTAAAATATGTACAGGCAAAGCACTGTGTAGTAATCTGATTTGGCATTTATTTTATATTTTGACACAAAGTTTTCTACATAATATTATTGAAATCTAACCTGTAATTTAAAGGGCAAGTTGTTTTCGCGCGGGGCCCACGCGTTGCGATCAATGCCATACCTTACGACATAATATGTAGGTTTGTCCAGTTCAAGTAATCAGTCTGGTGTCACGTATCATATCGCACCTTTAGATTTATAGAGACCCATCACGATTTTTTTGGATTTCGACTTTAATAAAATTGAAGGCATGCGTGGATGAAGGGTTTAAGTACCATTTATTTTTAAGTTTTTTTTTACATTGAATAAAGGTGTTATGTGTCTATAAAACATATTAGACCTTAAAACTCCGGGTTCAATCCGGCTATTTTTAGAAATTGCACGTGATGAAGGAGTTATGTACGAATAAAAATCACAAGTAACAAGTCTGTTGTCCGTTTTCTCAAAATTAACAAATTGTATCATATCCCCTTCATCCACTGATGTCTCCAATTCAAAAATGGATCTAAAACGACCTTATTCAGCGACTCTTAATAATCAAATAACCAAAAGTAGCATAAAAAGGGACAAACTTATCCGTCGGTCTCTTTCACTCAGTCCCCTTCCTCTACGCTTTTACGGTTTGAAAACTTTATTCGATGTTTTCCAAAAGAATGCATTCCTATAATTCTAAAGGTGCGATATATTTACCTATTTTTATTGTGACTATAAGGGCGGAGACTTAACGGAAGTTCCACGTGTAGCTGCGTGGCAGCGTGACCTAGCAACGTTTACATATCATTACGATACTACTTTTTAAATTTAGGTTCATTACTTTAACATCAAAGTAATCAATCAACCATTAATCGAGCGCGCTACATCCAGTTCCTCACCGCTACTTCGCAACTCGATCGAGGCGCACTCACTGCACTGCGTGCTCGCCCGCACGTGCCGCAGTCTGCACGATACATCAAATGCGAACTAACACGTGTAGTCTCTTGTCAACACGTGCCGAATCCTATATTAGAACGATGCTCATTCTTATTAATGTAAACGAAGAGTTTCTGACATTTTTCATGTGTGTTGGCGCTGAGCAACCAATGACAGTTGACATGGCGGCGCCGTAGTTACTATTTTGGCCACAAACTCCTTGGTGACGTTTTAAAAGAAACCTTGTCGAGGGTTTCATCGAGACAATACAATTTTATAATATTAATGGAATTTTTGGCGGGAACGCGAGAAGTGAAGTTGTTTATTAACTGTTTAATATCTGTGAAAGTGCACAAATGTGGGAAAATGAAACAAAGCCGCTGGACGTAACTTCTCGGGATCCTCCAAAAAATCCACTGAAAAAATCTCAGTAAATGACCACCATTTTGCTGAGATTATATTTCATCCCATATCATCTCATTTAATTTAATTTCATCCCAGTTGATTAATGTCTCAAATTAATCATCCTCATTTCATTTCATATTATAATTTTTCATAAAAATAAGAATATAAATTAAAATAAGACATGACTTAAAGGTCTTGGTTACCAGGTCATAAAATCCCTTAAAAAATATAACATTAATTTATTGGAAGAACGATAAAATTATTAAACGTAGCCGTCGCGCCTCGCAGTGTCAATTGCGTTGTCATTGTCATATAAAACAAATTTTAATATTGATTGAAAACATCCATATAAAAATCTTAAATATAAAACATGTAAAAGTCACAAATCTTATTAAGTATGTAGAATAAAAAGAAGTAATATATTAATAAAATTAAAAATAATCAATCCAAAAAATTATAAAAATATATTTTTAATACTTAAGAGATAATTTCTTAAAGAAAGAAAAAAGATATAAAAAGATCACAGTAATGGAAGCTGTCGGCGCCACCGGGGCCACGGGACCGCACGCACGGTCGCCACGCCATGATGGCCGTTTTGACATATTGCAATAGCGATGTCAAATGTCATTTTTTCTCGAAAAAATTATAATGAAATCTATAAGTTTGAATTTTAGAAAAACAAATGCCGAGTTGTTTGGTAAATAAGTACACCAATAATTATAATCTTATAAAAATAAATGTTCGCGGGACCCTAATATACATATATGTATAGTTTAGAAATCAATGTTATAAATAAATTTTGTGTCCTAAAATAATACATTAGATCAATTTTATGACTAGCTGCACGTCACTAGTGACAATAAAGTACAGCAATATGCTAGTTCAAATGTAATTAATTACTATTAATACGAAACTTCATGAGAGGACAAATGTCAAAACGGCCATCAGAGCGTGCCGGGAGTGTAATTTCATTAGACGGAATGTGTTACACATGTATGCACGAAACTACTTGCCGCGATTGTTTTTAACCTTTTATCGATAAAAGTTAACCATGGTCCTTCGGCCACACACAGGGGACCCAGTGGCCCCCCCAGTAGACCGATGCGACCGGCGTTGGACTCGGGGAGTCCCCTCGTGAGACGCAATTCACAATGAAAACACGCGAGGTTTCACAAATATACCACATATGATATCACATTCATTCTGTAGGGGTAAGCCGAATCTACACAGGAAGAGCCAATGTCTCAATCACGTGGTGCAGTCCACGGGCCCTGGGCGGTCTCGGGCGGGTCGCGAGCACCTTCGCTCGTGTAAAGCACTAAAAATAAATCTAAGCTGTGTATACTTCCTTAGCATTGTATACCTTTTCTTATTAGTTTAAAGTAAAGTGTCTGTCTAATCACTACACATGAACTATGTCGTTACATTACATTGAGGCCGCGGACAGCGGGGGCCGAGCGCCCACACTCACTAACAACATTTAACAACATTTAAATGACTAAAATTCTCTGGTTCCCCCGTGCTTACATTTAAGATAAAACTACTATTACACAGTTTGCAGCGTCTGTAGTCTGATCGGTGCGGCGATTATGATGTCTTTGAAATTCTGAATTTTATTTTATGAAATTTATAAAATTCAAAGTATTCGCGTAACGCTAAGGAGGCCCGCTCCGCAGGTTCATACTCCATATGTAATTATACCATTATTTCTGTAATAGCGCACCGCCCCCCGCCCCCCGCCCCCCGGTCTGCACTGAGGGGCGGGGCTGAACGTGTCGGAGTTTAACTCGACAAAACTTCGACCGTTGTATTACTGAAGTGAGGGGCCAACACCTTCACAGTTCACTAACGTTTTAGGAACAATGTTATTAGTTTTGTATTATGCAGTTCGGAAACTTATCGCTAATGGTCGCGGCCACACGAGTTTGCAACGCGCGTACTAAAGTACACATTTATTTGGGCTCACAGAATAGTGTGTCTACTATCTGGGTTGGCGTGTATTGATTCTCACATACTCTTAATGTGACCGCGACCGTATAATACACTAATATTAATAATCTCACATTAAACAAATTCACACATTATTTAGCTACGAACGTGTAACAATAATTACACAAATAAACATTAACAATGTCAAAAAGTAAATAGTTTATAACAACTGTCCAACTAAGCAGCACATCGACCCTGGCGCACTAACTGCCGACAAATTGTGTGAAGTATGTTTGACACAAATCACTCTTGACACATGTCACTGTTGGCAGACGACACTCTTGACACATGTCACATCGGCATCTGTCGACTCCGTAAAAGTCGTCCATGTTAGTCGTCCAATGTATTTCTTGCCGAATTAAATTCAGGTAGACAAAGCAAAATATATTTATCAAAAATAAGCCACGCTGTAAACAACAACTGGACAAAAAGCGGCCATTTGCACGAATCGACTTAACGTGTGTCTCCGCGAATAGCATCATGAGTTGTATGATATTAATTTAAATAGTCTTAATCCTAAGTTGTTAATTTATTTTTAAATCACTTAAATTGTGTTCTACAGTTTATTGCGGGTCGGCGGGGGCCCGCCCCGCGCGGTGAGAGGAGCTACCGCACTCTGATGAGGAGCTTCTTCCAGCGGAGCCGCAGACCTCGGGAGCGAGGACGCTCACGCTGGGGCTCCGGGGTTGATCTGTGTTATATAGAGGGAAATTATTTAGTTGAGTGAGGCACTGCGCAGGCTCCTCGCCGGTACACGTGGGTGTGTGTGTATACGCGTGTGCGTGTGTGTGTATACGCGTGTGCGTGTGTGCGTTGGAGCGCGCGTGAGTGTGTGTGTGTGCGTTTGTGTGTTTGCATGCGCGTGTGTGTGTGTATGTGTTTGCGGGTGTGTGTGTGTGCATGCGTGTGTGTGCGTGCATGCGTGTGCGTGCGTGCGTGCGTGTACGTACGGTCAGCGCGTCCAGCGTGCGTCGTCGCTGGGGTGCGTGCGTGCGTGTACGTACGGTCAGCGCGTCCAGCGTGCGTCGTCGCTGGGGTGTGTGTGCGTGCGTGCGTGCGTGCGTGTACGTACGGTCAGCGCGTCCAGCGTGCGTCGTCGCTGGGGTGCGTGTGCGTGCGTGCGNGTTATTAGTTTTGTATTATGCAGTTCGGAAACTTATCGCTAATGGTCGCGGCCACACGAGTTTGCAACGCGCGTACTAAAGTACACATTTATTTGGGCTCACAGAATAGTGTGTCTACTATCTGGGTTGGCGTGTATTGATTCTCACATACTCTTAATGTGACCGCGACCGTATAATACACTAATATTAATAATCTCACATTAAACAAATTCACACATTATTTAGCTACGAACGTGTAACAATAATTACACAAATAAACATTAACAATGTCAAAAAGTAAATAGTTTATAACAACTGTCCAACTAAGCAGCACATCGACCCTGGCGCACTAACTGCCGACAAATTGTGTGAAGTATGTTTGACACAAATCACTCTTGACACATGTCACTGTTGACAGACGACACTCTTGACACATGTCACATCGGCATCTGTCGACTCCGTAAAAGTCGTCCATGTTAGTCGTCCAATGTATTTCTTGCCGAATTAAATTCAGGTAGACAAAGCAAAATATATTTATCAAAAATAAGCCACGCTGTAAACAACAACTGGACAAAAAGCGGCCATTTGCACGAATCGACTTAACGTGTGTCTCCGCGAATAGCATCATGAGTTGTATGATATTAATTTAAATAGTCTTAATCCTAAGTTGTTAATTTATTTTTAAATCACTTAAATTGTGTTCTACAGTTTATTGCGGGTCGGCGGGGGCCCGCCCCGCGCGGTGAGAGGAGCTACCGCACTCTGATGAGGAGCTTCTTCCAGCGGAGCCGCAGACCTCGGGAGCGAGGACGCTCACGCTGGGGCTCCGGGGTTGATCTGTGTTATATAGAAGGAAATTATTTAGTTGAGTGAGGCACTGCGCAGGCTCCTCGCCGGTACACGTGGGTGCGTGTGCGTGCGTGCGCGTGCGTGCGTGTACGTACGGTCAGCGCGTCCAGCGTGCGTCGTCGCTGGGGTGCGTGTGCGTGCGTGCGTGCGTGTGCGTGCGTGCGTGTGCGTGCGTGCGTGCGCGTGCGTGCGTGCGTGCGTGTACGTACGGTCAGCGCGTCCAGCGTGCGTCGTCGCTGGGGTGCGTGAGGTAGCGGGTGCCGACGCGGCGCTCGAGGGCGCGCAGGTCTTGCCAGGCCTCGCGCGTCTGCAGCCAACAGTGGGACACGGACTTGTCCACGGACAGCCGCTTGCGTTGCTTCACTTGCAACAGGTTGTTTATGAGGTCGATTGCTGGAACATAATAATGTTGACATTTATCATTGACAATTGTTGATTTTGCGTAGTTGCTCCAGTACAAACTGCTGAGCCACCTACCCTCGGCGGAGATCTCCCTCCAGGGCGCGGGCGGGTACATGAAGGCGGCGTTCTGTATCTGCTCGTTGATGTCCTCGTCCTCGTTGAAGGGGAACGTCCCGGACAGCGACACGTAGATGATGACGCCCACGGACCACATGTCGAGCGAGCGGTTGTAGCCCTTGTTGCGCAGCACTTCCGGAGCTGGAACGAACACGTGGTTGGGCTGGACGGACTCTTATAAACAAAATTGGGTTTTCTTTTAGGAAATGTGAAGAAAATTTTATTTTAGATCTGACAAATATGTTTTCACCTTTGTCTACATATGCACGCATAAGCTGTTAGGGAAATAACTTAAACATCCTCAAGCATCTATCTATTTTATTCTTGACAGTCAAAAATGATGCGTAAGACAACCTTATTCAGGAGTGGTGGGGAGTCCTACAGCACACTAGCCGGGGGACCGCGACACTCGCACGATCTGGATTCAAGAGCGAGACACACATCGGGCGGAGGCACTTGCGATGTCCAGGGGCTCACCACCGCACACCAGCGGGCGGGCCGCGAGCTCGTGTGTCGACAAACATGCAGCACAATCGTCAATAGCTACCCAGGTAGGCCGGCGTCCCCACGACGGATCTCCGGAATGACTTCTCGCCGATGATGCGCGCGAACCCGAAGTCGCAGAGCTTGACTTGCGGGAACTCGTCGTCCGTGGACAGCAGCACGTTCTCCGGCTTCAGGTCGCAGTGCACGATGTTCTTCTCATGGAGATGCTTCAGGGCCACCAGGATCTGAGGAATGCACGACACGGTAGGTAAAGGTGCGAGGTAGACTCTTGGTGCGTCCTTACGTCTAAGATCACATTGATTATCGTTAGCGCGATTCGAGATTTCTTATATCTACTGACAATGTCCTGTTATATATATATATATATATATATATATATATATATATTTTTTTTTTTTTTTTTTTTTTTTTTTTTTTTTTTTTTTTTTTTTTTTTTTTTTTTTTTTTTTTTTTTTTTTTTTTTTTTTTTTTTTTTTTTTTTTTTTTTTTTTTTTTTTTTTTTTTATTGCCTTTGTAGGCAGACGAGCATACGGCCCACCTGATGGTAAGTGGTCACCGTCGCTCATGGACGTCAGCAATGCCAGGGGCAGAGCCAAGCCGCTGCCTACCAT